GGGGGGGGGGGGGGGGGGGGGGGATTCTCACCAGTACATGCATCCCCAGGAAAAGCATGGGGGGCACATACCCCCCTGGATCTGTGCATGGGGCGAGAGTAGGCTGCCTGCTCAAGGCCAGAACTGCTTCAGCCTCTTTCTGGTGGCTGCTCTCAGGCTAAGCTGATCAGGGCAGGCAGTAGCTACACTAGAAGGGGGGGCTACATCAAATTTTGGGGTGGCTATAGCCCCCCCTGCAGTCCCCCTTCCCAGCACCTCCACCATCCACCCTGCCCAGCCCAAGCGCAGCCACTGGGAAGAGGCTGGAGCAGCCCCAGCCCCAACTACACAGCAGCAACTTACCCTCATCCCCTGCACAGATCTAAGGCGTATGTGCCCCCCATGCCTCCCCTGGGGGTGCACACAGCAGTGGGAACCCCCCCTCCAATGCCCCCCAGACTAGCCACCAGCTCTGTCCCGCGTCCTGTGCTGCTTCAGCTGGGCAGCACCTGCCTATGTCCCACTCCCTCCTTCACTGCAGGGTGCTCAATCTGTCCCCCCCAGACTTGCTGGTCAGATGCTGCCCTCCACACTGCTGGGCTGCACTCCCAGATGCATGCAAGCTGCAGCTGTGCACATGCATGTGATATTTATCAGCAACATTATCAGCCACATCAGCCAAAAAAAGCCAATTGCCAATAATGTAAGTTTTCCTTTTATCGGTGTGAATACAATATGGACCTACATATCAGTGCATCTCTAGCATCCATAGACTAGGGAGTCAAAGATGGTGTCCCTTGGCTGCAGGACCAGTACCAAAACTCGAGGCAGTTTGCAGGGGGGGAAAAAAAAAGAGGGGGGAGTTGCTTATTGTCTCCCAGGTGGCTGACCCTTGTGCTCTATTATGCAGGGTTTGCTGGAAGGAGGTGCACTATGAAGCACAGATTTGGGATAACAGTAGTGCAGGAGCCCAGCGAAACACTTCTATGGCACATTTCCTCTTACCATCTTCTGCAGTGTTGAGTTTCAGAGACTGGCCCTTGAAGCTCAGCTGCCCTCCGCCCACCTTGGTTTTTGCAAGCGACTCTGCTAACTTAGTAATCTCTTCAGATGCCATTTTCTGTGCTTTGCCAACCTTCAAGAACTGCCAATTTTAAAAACGAATCACTGAAAAACAGAAAAAAAAACCACTCAACATACATACACACCTCTAAGAAATAGTTTACCCTAAATTACAAATATCAGCTCAAAATAGTATTGCCCCTAACCCTCCACTTTTTTGGCATGACAGCAAGACTTAAGTCTCTTTCAGAACCTGAAACACTAATCTGTCAGATGCTGTTGAAAATTCAGCTCTGCAGAGAAAAGTTTAGACTTAAAGTTTAGACTTTAAGGGAGTCATCAAGTTCCATAAATAAGACTGAACTGGGACCGATCTTAATAAGATCCCATTAAGATACCACTCTGTTCTTGACAGCACTCTTTCAGAATGAGAAAGGATTACTGCTTTCTCCCTACAGCCATATCCTTTAATATTTATTAGTAAACACGATCCAGTCCATCATGTTTCTTTTCCCTTTACAAAAAGCTAAAACAGACATGGTACTTTTTCTTTCCAGTTACATCCCTGCTAGTACTCACATCAGCAC